AAATCGGCGAAGCACATATATTCATCAGAATATACTCCTCCTACTAATCTAGCTTTCGCATGACTTCTCTCGCCTCCTAAGGAACCCGGCCTGGATGATTGCGGCCGTTAGGGTAGTCCTTCTTAGCATTAACACCCCTCGCTAACTAGTGACCCATGACATGAGATAAAATATTAACTTCTGATGTGACCGAGCTCAATCATCATCAGACCTCCCTCACTATCTAGTGAATTTTCCTGGCATTGGTACGTACCTCCATCCCTATCTTTCACTATTCTTCCTTCGTTCCATTTCTTTCATCAACGAACTACGGTCTAGGAGGGGAGCACCTGTAGTGGGCGTTAGCGCCACTGTGGAAACCCGTGATCGCTGACTCATCACACCGAGGCTGCAGTCACGCTGACTGCCCGCACCCTGTCCATCTCTGGCTTAATGTCCGGCGCGACCTACTAACACGCTCAGTCTCGCTGCGGCTACACAGCGGCGTAACCTCGCGCGGTCCAAACAGTCACCTCCAAGGCTACATAAAGTGAAGACAACAAACGGTGTCCACTCAGATGAATGCCGCCGGACAGCACGCTGGACTCAACCCGACTAGGGAACAGATGCACTAGTCCGCGAGTCAAACTTCCTCCTGACTATTTTACTTTCCGTCTGTACCGAACATACTCCTCCTACTAATCTGGCCTTCGCACGGTTTCTCTCATCTCCTAAGGAAGCCAACCTGGAAGATCGCAGCCGTTAGGGTGAACCATCTTAGTTTTTACACTCCTCGATAATGCATTCAAGTATGAATCCAAAACTGCAGGCTTACAAAGTTCTGATATCCAATGGTTGAATCAAATCCGTTTAACTTTTTTTCCGGAGACTCACAGTCCCTCTGTAGATATGCATTCCCCAACAGCTCCTGACGCTCGCAAGCATATCATAAACCTCGCCCAGACGTCTCTATCCTCCGTGCGAATCACTCATCGTAAGATTTCCCGTTGGCAAATTTACCGAACATATCCGTTAATGAACCAGGTGTACAGATCTCACTAAAGACCGGCATTCTGCAATTCAAACAAACTTTATTGTGCGAAATCGAAAAATCATTGAAACAGGTGGTCAAACAGGGTAACAAATCAAAGTCAAGAGAGAGCGATCAGGGAAATTGATTGCATCGAGATTGTCATGGATGTGGATTAGGGGTAAAATCAAATGTACGTACAGATGGTGGATTTGGATAATGAACTACGCCCAATTGGTGCCAAGTGGAAGGTACAGTGAATGAACAAAAGCATGCCGCAGATATCTAGAGGAGAAAGCACGTCAAGATTTATGTTTATGAAGCGGTGTGATTAAAATATCTATTTCAAATAAAAGAAACTGATACACAGACGAAAATGCACAAAGTCTGAGATAGTAGTTTGCAGTTTGACAAATCAGAGAATAGAAAGCTCCTGACTAATTGAAGAATCGTAGTTCTAGAGCATGAAGGAAATGAAATGAAATAGTTTGAGTACTAACGACTACAGCATCGGATCAAAAAAGGCTAATATAACTGCATAAATTCTAAATAAAATGTGGCAGCACTCAAGGGATGAAGAAGGAACTCACCGACAGGCATAGAGACACGCATCTGCGAAGGGCCCTTGTGGATTGTCTGCGGACACCGTTTGACTGCCCCGACGGTACAGACCACTTGACAGCCGGGGCCAGTGCTCAATTAGGAACTCCAGCACCTAGTTGGCAGATGCAAAATATTGGTAAGACAAGACGGAAGGGGTATTGAACGCCGAGACGAAATGAATATCAACTGCGTTAAGCGTACCTGACTGTTGGTCTCGGCATTGTCAACGGTGCCAAAGAGAAAGGGTGCCAAGCACAGAGCCAGTGCCCGAGGGGTCATGCAGTTGAGGGCCTGAAGGCCCACAACCTCCCGAAGATGGCAAAGGACATAATCTAGAGTGGCCAGACGCCACCCCCTCTCTCGGTTGCTAGCCGCCTTCCCACCGGGGCAGTCAATAGAAGAAGTGAGGGGGTCTAGCATTTGCCCAAGGGCTCTTGCCAACCCTGCCGGTGTCCGCAGAGACCGGCCGAGGTCCTCTGTAGTGGCCGCGGCGAAAACGTCGGCATCTAACAGGCTGTCGGGCAGCAATGTTAGATAGTGTTTAATGGCCGACGATATCGCCCGGCTATCGAAGAGCTGGCGGCTACCACGTCATTATTCACTGACGCATGACCATGGCCGGAGTCATATCTGCAATGCTGAAACGACCCAGCTATGCAATGCGCACATTCGCTTCAATTCGTGAGAGCTTATCAAATAACAGGCCCGTATTCTGAAACGTTAGAAAGACTGCAAGACTGCATATTAGCACACACCTAAACACAAACGAATCCTAGTGCATGAGAAACTCATCAAGGAATCAGGAGATGGCTTACGGTATTCGCCAAAGTTGTGATCTATCGAACTTTCGATAGGCAACCTGGGACTCGGTAGAGGCCCTCCGAGTCCAGACCCTGTAGGCGAAGCGACTTCACCATGTCCACGATGACACACGGAACGCCCTAATTCATACGAAGAAAAGGATGTTTAAAACTGTCATGAAATACAAAAGTGCGTGAATAATCAAAATTATCCACCACGTAGACTTACTGGCTGCTCGGGGGACTCCCTCTGCTCAGAGAGTGGGGCTCCGAACAGTGGCCCCGTGGTCCCCGACTGTTCGCAAACTGGAAAGAGATGAATGGTGATACTGATGATTGGAAACGCCCAGTGTGAGTGCGAATCAATAACCGCATGCTTTTGAAGTGGATCCGATAAAGCAAAGGGAGACCGGAATGGCCATTTCTGGCTTA